GTGTATTCTTTTCCTGGTTATTATTTTTTTCATAGGGCTTATCACCATGTGACAATGGTTTGCAAAGTGTGGTCTGCAGATCACTGGGGTGAGGTGACCCTGAGATTCTTTTAGGGGCTCCACAAGGTCAAAACTATTTTCATACAGGGGCCGGTCCTGTGGCCAAGTGGTTAAGTTCGCGTGCTCTGCTTCGGCGGCTCAGGGTTTCGCCAGTTTGGATCCTGGGCGCGGACATGGCACTGCTCATCAAGCCACCCTGAGGCAGCGTCCCACATGCCACAACTAGAAGGACCCAGAACTAAAAAAATATATATATACAACTATGTACCGGGGGGCTTTGGGGAGAAAAAGGAAAAATAAAATATCTTTTAAAAAACCCCACAAAAAACTATTTTCATACTAATACTAAGAAACTATGTGCTTTTTTTCCACTGTGTTATTATATGCACTGATGGTGCAAAAGCAATGGTGAGTAACAACTGCTAGCATCTTAGTATGAATCAAGGCAGCAGCACGGAACTGAGCTAGGAGTCTTTGTTTTCTTCACTGCCACAAACTCAAGATTAAAAAAGCAAAAGTCAGTTGCACTTTAGTGCGTCCTCGATGAAGCAATAAAAAATTGTTCACTTTATTAAATCTCAACACTTGAGTTCATGTCTTTACTTTTTTCTGATTTTGATTGGAGTGGTTTTTTAAAAGATAACTTTTCTTAGAGCAGTTTTAGGTTCACAGGAAAACTGAGTGGAAGGTACAGACTTCCCCCATACCCTCAGCCGCCACTCAGGCACAGCCTCCCCCATTATCCACATTCCCCATTACAGCCGTGACTTTGTTCCAAGTGATGAACCTTCGTGACGCATCACCATCACCCTAAGTCCACAGGTTACACTAGGGCTCGCTCTCGGTGTTGTGCATCCTGTGGGTTTGGACAGATGTATAATGGTATGTGTCCATCATTACGGCATCATAAGAATATTTTCACTGCCCTAAAAATCCTCTGGGCTCTGCCTATTCTTTCTTCCTTCCCCCAAGCCCTGGTAACCACTGACCTTTTTACTGTCTGCATAGTTTGCCTTCTCTGGAATGTCACATAGTTGGGACTGTACAGTACGTAGCCTTTTCAGATGGGCTTCTTTCATTTAGTAATGTGCCTTTAAAGTTCCTCCGTGTCTTTTCATGTCTTGCTAGATCATTTCTTCTTAGCACTGAATAATATTCCATTATCTGGATGTATCGCAGGATATTTATCCATTCACCTACTGAAGGGCATCTTGATTGCTTTAAGGTTTGACCATTATGAATAAAGCTGCTATAAACATCTGTGTGCAGGTTGTTTTGTGGACCTAAGTTTTCAACTCCTTTGCATAAATACCAAGGAGCCTGACTGCTGTATCATATGGTAAGAGTATGTTCAGTCATCAGTTCTTGTCTTTTCAAAATTCTGTATGATGAAACAGGAAGCATGCAGACAGCATCTTTGCTGCCCCTGCAGCACCGCAGTCACCGTCTCCAGGAAGAAACACCTGTGTCCCTGTGTGAAGTGCAGGCTGAACTAGCCGCATGTCTCGTGGAATACCATATTTAGATACACAAACTTCAGGTATTCTGATATGGATATTTGGCAGACATTTTCACAAAAATGAAAGAAAGGGGCCTGTCACTTCTAGGAAAAACAATGGACAGTATTTGTTGTTAATGATAATATTTGAACTTTTAAGTGAAAACTAGAATTTTGAAAAACTTGTATTTACCACAGTGATCTCGACAACTTCCCAACACTTAAAGATTTTCTGATGAGATCAGCGGTCATATTAACATATGTGACTTTTGGATATTGAATAATGAAATGTGTTAATATTTGGAAGATCTGTGTAATTCAGTGGACTAATATTTTTCAAATGACTGGTGCATGATGTTTCCAAATCATGCGTGGGGAACAGATGCACTCGGTGGGTTTTCATGTAAATGGAGTCCAGAAGTCCACTGACAGTTCCAGATCACACATTGCAACTATTCTTTAAGAAATTAAAATGTGTCGAGTTTTGGAGTAGTCTCAAAGACTAGGCACAATTACCTGAAAAGCTGGTCAAAATACTCTTCCCTTTTCCGTTTACATGTCTGTGGGAGGTTGAATTTTCCTCATATACTTTAACCGAAACAACACATCATGACAGATTCAGTGCAGAAGGTACACTTGATTCTCGTTATTCGCCGTAGTTGTCTTCTACAAAGTGGCTGTGAACCCTGAACCATGGCTCTTAGGCAGAAAAATCGGGTTAGGTTCCTGTAAGCCTCTGGTCACCACATTTTTTTTTTTTTTTGAGGAAGATTAGCCCTGAGCTAACATCTGCTGCCAATCCTCCTCTTTTTGCTGAGGAAGACTGGCCCTGAGCTAACATCCGTGTCCATCTTCCTCTACTTTATGTGTGGGATGCCTACCACAGCATGGCTTGCCATGTGGTGCCATGTCCACACCCAGGATCCGAACTGGTGACCCCCGGGTGCCAAAGTGGGAGGTGCGCACTTAACCGCTCCTCCACCAGGCGGCCTCTCTGGGCACAACATTTTTATCAATCAATCATCAACTGATAAAAAGCCAACTCTGTTTTATGTGTGTTTCCATTTAAAGGCACCTTATTTAATAGATATCGTTGATTCATTCACGTTGAATTCACAACCAACAGCCCTATAACTCCTGCATGAATGAAGCTTGTGGCATGAGGCACGTCACAGCCTTCTGGTGCTAAGGACCACTAGGCGACACCACGCCTGGGGCCAGTTTAAACAGCAAAATCAAGGAAAAGCACAAAAATGTGAAAAATGCGGCACTAAGCAGACTGTGGAAAGGACACTTTTTACAGTATGACGCTGGAACAAGAAGGCAGAGCATCGCCTCCTTTGACCTCAGCTGGGAACCCGGATGTCGGCCACGTCAGAGCTCTCACTGCTCCGTGGAGGCCCCTGGCCACGGGAGGCCCCGAGTGCTGATCGTGGGGCTGCAAGTGAGTTTTAGTGAGCGGATGAATTTGCAAACACAGAATCTGCACATCATGAGGGTCAACTGGAGGAGAATCCCGTCTTCTTGTTATTAAGCTAGACAATAAAGCAATCTGCAAAGGTGTAAAACATTGCCACTCTTCTCATAATTCTTTGTTTTGGAAAATATAGTTAATTTTTATAAAAATACACTATTTTTGTTGCCATGTAAAGAGTTTATGTTAAAATGGATATTTAAAAACATTCTCAGTTTTAATTTCTAATACAGTTAAGATCAATAGGCATGCCCTCTGTAGATGAAAACTGATCTTTTAAATCAACAGACACAATTGTGTAGAACAGTTTTATATTTACAGGGAAATTAAAAAGATAGTGCAGAGGGGCTGGCCCCATGGCCGAGTGGTTAAGTTTGCGTGCTCCGCTGCAGGCGGCCCAGTGTTTCGTTGGTTCGAGTCCTGGTCACGGACATGGCACTGCTCGTCAGGCCACGCTGAGGCAGCGTCCCACATGCCACAACTAGAAGGATGCACAACGAAGAATATACAACTATGTACCGGGGGGCTTTGGGGAGAAAAAGGAAAAAAAATAAAATCTTTAAAAAAAAAAGATAGTACAGAGAGTTCCCCTATCCTCCCCCCGCAATTTCCTCTATTAATATCCTGTCTTAGTACAATACATGTATTACAATTCATGAGCCAATATTGAAACACGACCGTTGAAGTCCAGGCTGTTCAGATATCCTGTTTTCTCTTAACACCCCTTTTCTGCCCCAGGAGCCCCCGCAGGATCCCACGTTAGTCTTACGTCTCCTTGGGCTCCTCTTTGCTGTGACGGTTTCTCGGGCTTCCCTTGTTTTTGATGGCGTGACGAGGTTGAGGAGCACCCGTCTGGTATATTGTTGAATGTCCCTCCATTGGAAGTTGTCTAATTTTTAAAAAATCATGATTTGACTGGAGTTGTGGGTTTCCTGGCTGTGTGTACACAGGGAGTGAACGCTCCCTGGCTGTGTGACCTTCGGCTGAACCTCCCTGAGCACCTGACCCTCACGGAGAAATGCGGGTGGTGGTATCTCCTTCAAAGGGGTGTGTAGATTAAATACAGGTAGAAGCGCCTGCCTAGACCGGGAAGCTGCCGTTCACAATTGCTCGGCAACAACGAGAACAATGACAGCAAACACGTAGCCAACACTGGGTTTTTATCACGTGCTGGGCTCTGTGCTCAGCTCTCTGAATGACGATGAGCTTTCAGGAGAGGCCAAGATGTTGGAAGCAACCGAGTCAGTGCCGTTTGAGAAGAAACGCAGGATCAACATTGCCCGGCGTACCCTAAAGACAGCAAAGAATAATATTAATTACTATACTAACAGCAATTATACACCTCCCATTTGCACAGGGCTTCACGCTGCACGGGGTATTTCCACGCTCAGGCGTTTTAATTTTCTCAGCCTTAATTTTCTATGGGGTCAGCAGAGTCATCTCTGTTGTTTAAATGAGGAAGCCAGGCTCAGAGAGGGAGAGGGGCTGGCCCAAGCTCGCACAGCGGCTAAGTAGCCAAGGAATGTGCCCCCGGAGGGAGAAGCGGGCAGCGGAGCCCGCGCTGCGGCCGTGTCTCCGATACGCTCAGGCCTGCGCCTTCCCCAGACCTCCGCCCAGGATGCAGGCGCAGGCCCCAAGGTGCCCGGCCTTGTCCCGGGGCTCTCCAGGGACGTCCAGTCCTCAGGAGGGCTCAGGGGCTGGCGGAAGGCGCGGGCTCGGAGGCGCGACTCTGAGCTGGCGGCGGGGGCCGGACGCGGGAGAGGCCACCCACCCCTCCCGCCCCAGGATCCCCCTCCCTCCCCAAACACGCGGGGCCCTTTCTAGGGCGCGGCTGCGGAGCCTGGGCCGGCGCGGGGGAGGCGGGGGGCATCCCGGAGGGGATCCCGCCCCCTCCCCCGGCCGCGCGGCGCCCCCACACCCACGTGAGCGCACGGCCGGTCCGGATCCCCGCCGCTGCACAGCGCGTCCCGGCTCCGCGCCGCTGCCTCCGCCGTCTGTCCCCGCGCCAGCGCTGCGCCGTCCCCGGCGGGTGCCAGCTGCCGGGCCGGGGCTTCGCGGGACTCCGGGTCTCACGGTCCTCCTCGGAGCGCAGGCGAGGCGCGGTGAGTCGGGGGACTGCGGCCCCGCGCGGGCAAGGGCTCTGAGGGCCGGGGCGGGCGGGACCCGAGGACGGGTCGGCCCACCCTGGGGTCAGGCGGGCGGGGTGCGCCCTACTCCTGCCTCCCCATCTCTCGCCGCCCTTTGTCTCAGCTCCTCCCTGCCCCTTAGAGTCGTTCGCTGTTTCCTGGCGCCTTAGTTACCCGCGGGTCTCTCTGCCCCTCTCTCCGCCCGCCTCCTCCCGCGCCTCTGTCCGCGGCCTGGATCGTGACAGCTATCCGTCTCCGTGCCTGGTGCCTCGTCCTTTTCTGGGGCTCTGATCCCGGCCCCATTCGGGGGTTTATTCCTCCAACTCCGGACAGCCCTGGTTGTGACTGAGACTTTGGCCACCGCTGCAGGGCGCTGGGTGTGGAGCTGCGTTTTTGTGTGTGGGGGGGGGGGGGGGGGGCGCGCGGTGGTGGTGTGTGCCGCCGAGAGACTGAATGTGTGAGGGCGCTTGCCTTCCCAAGGTGTGTGGGGCTGCATGTTTAACTACTGGCAGGAATTTGTTTGGAGTTTTGTGTCCTGTGTCGCAAGGTGTGTGTGTGTGTGTGTGTAGGAATTGTAGAACTACTGCAGTTTCTTTTACAAGGGAAGTTGTGCAGGGCTTTGAAGGTGTGTGTGGGGTTGTGTGTCTGACGGTGTGCATGAATGTGGCAAGTGTGTGTGCATTTGTTTGTGTGTAGGGATGGTATGACTGATGCTACCTGAGCGGAGCTGCATTTCTGAAGGTGTGTGTGGGGTTATGTGCCTGAACAGTTCTGTGTGTGACTGTGTGTCTGTGTGTGGTTGTGTACCTGTCAGTTGCAGAAGGAGGCGTGCGGGGTTGTGTTTTGGAGTGTGTGTGTGATGTGTGATGTGTGATTTCCGTGCTTCCTTTCCCTCCCCCCACTCACCCTCCGGCTGCAGGGTGTTAGATAAAATGTGTGGAAGTAGCCTCGTTTTGCCACAGCAGCTGGCTTCAGTTCTAGGGTGTAGGAGGCCCTTCTTTGTTCCCGTTGGCTCCAAGCGGGGGGGGGGGGGGGGGGTGGCTGGCACATCTCACCACATCTAAGAGTCTGGAGGTGGGGGAACCAGGTGGGAGACCCATCCTTGAACCCCTGCAGACACTAGAAGGGCCATGTCCAGAGCAGGAAGCCTAAGAAGCAGGTCAAGACCATGTCTAGAACCAGGAGAGACTGGACAAGAGAGAACCGAGGGTGAGGGGGGAGGCCCCAGGGGTCCAAGAGAGGCTGAGAAAGGCCCCAGTGGAGGCCAAGATCCTGGGAAAACCATTTCAAGTCCAGTACTGCTTGGTGAGTAATGTACCCAGGACCAAGGAAAATCGATAGGAAGACACACTCCTGCTTCTGCATTCTTCTCTGTCCTCAGTTGTACGTCTGCTGGGCTTCTGCTTTTCCTCAACCATGGCTGACATGTTTTGTGCTCACCAGGCACTGTTCTAAGCGTCTGGTGAATTTTGCCCTCTGAGCCACACAGACAGTAACCAGTTCCTGCAAAGGGGAGTGGGGTTTGAAATAAAGAGCTCACGTAAGCTCTTCCGCTAGGCCAGGGGTCTGCAAACTTTTTCAGTAAAAGGCTAGAGAGATTGTTTTGTGGTCCACAGGATGTGTCCCACCAGCTCCACTCAGCCGTGGTAGCACGAAGTATAACCATGGACAATACGCGTTGAGTGAGTGCGGCTTGCCAATAAAGCTTTATTTACAAAAACAAGTGGCTGGCTGGATTTGGCCCTCAGACCATGGTTTGTCTATCCCTGCTCTATACTGTACTACCTCTTGTAAGGAAGAGACAGGAAAGAGAGAAAACTAGCTCTGGATTTTTTGTGACTAGTTTAGATCTTAGCTGACACTTCCTTGGGACCCGTGGGACGCTACTGCTTGGTGACAGGGAATGTACATCCTAGAGGAGAGGGAGGAATTTCGCATTTCCTCTGTAGTCTGTGGTCCTCTGTCTGGGATTTTTCACAGCAAGGTGAGAAGCAGCATCCTGGTTTCAAAGTGAGCGATCCACTTGAAGCAGGACCCCAACTGGAGTTGGCCATTGGAAATGGGGGTTAGACCTGGAGGAAGCAGGGCCTGGAAAGGTGAGGCCGACGTCCTATCACTTGGATATGAGAGGACCAGAGGGCAAGGAAGACAGTGGCCCTAGAAAAGTAGCTGCTAAGCCAGTGGCAGCCAAAAAAAAAAAAAAAAAAAGAAAGAAAAAAAAAATTCCAAGGACCTACCTGCTGGTGGAACTGAGACCTCTGCCAGACTCCCAGCCCTGACCTGATGAAATCAGGCACTGGGGCGGGGGTGGGGGCAGATCGGTAAGGAGAGGTGTCAGAACCCAGGTCCCTCAGAGAGTAGCTGGGTAAGGCCATGTTCTCCCTACAGGTGCAGCGATCCCAGGCAAACCAAATATGCAGAGTTCAGTACAGGATACAGTATTCACTGTCTTCCTTTGGCCTGGATGTTTTTTTCTAAGAGTTGGATGAATCTGGTGTATCTGTCAGGAAACAGCACACTCAAAAGGGGGAACTGCAAAGAGTTTAAGTTAGGGACTATTTACAAAGATATGAGCAGAGTTAAGAGAAACTAGTGTGGCTGGTGTAGCACTCAGGGATCAGCAGCAGTGGGGAGGCTGCAGGGAGGGAGGAGGCGAGCGGCCTGGGGAAAGCCATGGCTGGAACAGAGAATTATCTTTCTTTTTTAATTGAAATATATTTGACACATTACATTGTGTAAATTTAAGGTGTACGCCATGTTGTTTTGATACATTTATATATAATACGATTGCCATTGTAGTGATGGCACCTTTATCACATCAAGGGAGCCAAGAACACCCAATGGGGAAAGGAGAGTCTCTTCAACAAATGGTGTTGGGAAAACTGGATAAACACATGCAGAACAATGAGGCTGGACCCCTATCTTATACCACTCCCAAAAATTGACTTGAATCAGCCTAAGACTTAAACATAAGACCTGAGACCATAAAACTTGAAGAAGAAAACATAGCGAAGAAGCTCCTTGGCGTGGGTCTTGGCTTTGATGTTTTGCATATGACACCAAAATCATAAACAACAAAAGCAAAAATCAACAAGTGGGACTATGTCAAACTAAAAAGCTTCTGTGTAGCAAAAGAAATGATCAATGAAATGAAAAGGCAACCTGCAGAATTGGAGAAAATTTTTGCAAACCATAAATCAGATAAGGGGTTAATATCTGAGATATATAAAGAATTCGTACAACTCAATAACAAACAAACAATCCAATTAAAAAATAGGCAGAAGAACTGAATAGACATTTTTCCAAAGAAGACATTCGAATGGCTGATAGGTACAGAGGACTGTCTGATGGGAGCTGTGGCTGAGGTGGAGGAACATAGCCTCTGCCAAGTATGCTCATCTCCACCTGCTGCCTTCCGCGGCCAGACCGAAAGGAGAGCCAGTGGGCAGGGAGCCTGGGTGATGCCATCTCTAGCAATCAGCCTCCGCCTGGGAGTGAGTCTAGAGGGATGGCAGAATTCCCAGTGTGCTTGGCCTGGAGGCACTGCCACTCTGGCTGTGACATCAGTGCCTGCAACGTTGTTGTCCTTCAAAAACCAGAGGCTCAGTCCCCAGGGCCCACCATACTTTTAGGGACCCATGGAAATGCTTTCACTTCTTTTAAAATCACAAGAAAGAATTAAACTTTTAGGTCAAAGAAAATGTTTTAACATATAATATTAGGTGAAATTCACATCACAGGAAACCAACCATTTTAAAATGTCATTCAGTACATTCACAATGTTGTGTGACCATCACCTCTATCTAGTTCCAAAATAATATATTCATTTTTAGATCAATGCAGTCGTAAAATAGGATTGTCATATTTTTTTTTTAATGGAGGAAGGAGTCCAGGAAGGCAAAAGTTGCTCAGGCTTATGAAAGTCACATTTCTAACTTGCCTTATACATGTTAGGTGTTTAGCTGGTAAGAGGATAGGCAGGTGTTTATTTTTATATGCATTTAACATGTATTAAAATATAATTAGCATTTCAAATGATGACCTAAAGTTTGACATAGAGGAATGATGTAATGTATCTAAAGTTTCCATTTTAGATACACTTATTTAGATAAGTAAATGAAGTTACATGGATATGGCCGGAGGTAAAGAAAAGACATAGAAGTCTGAAGTTTGGATAACAGTGCCCTGCCCCCTAGGCAGACTCTGAACATCACATTCTCCTGCAGAGATGTATCCTGAAGAGCCACGGGGGTCAAGAATTATCCCCATTTCCATCCCGAGGGACTCCCCCCCTCTGCAGTTGCTCATCTGGGCATTCAAGCAGCTGCAATTATAGGGCACCCACTGTTTGCCAGTACCTGCAGATTTTGTCCTTGTGGAAAGCCGTCTTGTCAGCACCTCCAGGCCAGGCACCGAACCGTATGAATTTTGGGGGGCTAGCCTCAAAGTGCCTTGTCTAGGGCTCTGCATGCAGTTGTCGCTCAGCAAGCCTTGTTAGTTTGCTTTGCGAGATGGAGCAGCCCCCAGTTGCTTGTGATGATCTCGTGAAAGAGGAGGCTGGAATCAGGGAATGGCAAAAGCGGCCATTCCATTGTGGTCTACTTCCCCGCCTCTCCTCAGCCATGCCCAGGAGTGATTCTGGAGACCTTGGCCCTTTTCTGCCAGGACACGACCCCTGAACCCTAGGCAGTGTTCTCAGTGGCCCAGCCCCAACACATCCCGACAGACCGACACCGCCCCTCCCCTGCTGTCTGCACTCCCCCGGAGGACTCACCAGCGTCCTCCACCCTTCCATCCGTCCCCGTCTACCCACATCCGCCCTCTGTCCCGTCCCTCACCCGGCCCGGGCCCTCTGTCCCCCGCAGATAGACGATGAGCAGCCACGGGAACAGCCTGTTCCTGCGGGAGAGCGGCCAGCGGCTGGGCCGCGCGGGCTGGCTGCAGCGGCTGCGGGAGAGCCTGCAGCAGCGGGCCCTGCGCACGCGCCTGCGCCTGCAGACCCTGACGCGGGAGCACGTGCTGCGCTTCCTGCGCCGGAACGCCTTCATCCTGCTGACCGTCAGCGCCGTGGTGCTGGGTGAGTCGGCGCAGCCCGCGAGAGCGGGACTCCTGGGAAGTTCCCTGCACGCACGTCTCCTTACTTCACCCACGGGTTTTTGCCTGCACACATGCGCACGTCCCACCAGCGGCACCCCCACCAGGGACACACTCACACGAATGGGTACAACACAGTTGTGTGTGTACAACGTCACATGTATATGCGTGTGTACACACACACACACACGTGTACACTATACAAACACACCCTTTCTGTTTGTAAACAGACAACAAACATGAACACATTTTAATGCATTCACAAAACTTACAGGTGGAACGTGAACTCACATCACACTTGCACGCATTTACTAGAACTTAGAAACACATTCGTACATGCACATACATTCCTTTATACTTATAGCACTCTTATGAACTTAAATGTACATACACTCCCATGTCTGAAAACAGTAACGTACACATACAACTCACACCTGTATACACACAGAGGAGAAACATGTGCATCCCGTGTATAGGGCCACATATACAGGCACAGGTACATGTGCACAAGTGAGTGTACAGTGTCACATATGCATGCATATGTACGTGTAAATGTGTGCATTTACACACACATCAACATGATACACAAATTCATACATTTCTACACTCAGAATGTGTCTCTCTTTCTGCCACCCTCATCCACACACATCCTTATTCAGATGGATGGCCCCTGCTTGGGGCTCAGTGGCCCAAATTCCACTCCACGGACCCCTCATTTTGGCCCTAGGGGTGAGCCTGGCCTTTGCCCTGCGTCCGTACCAGCTTACCTACCGCCAGATCAAGTACTTCTCTTTCCCTGGAGAGCTGCTCATGAGGATGCTGCAGATGCTGGTGCTGCCACTCATCGTCTCCAGCCTGGTCACAGGTGAGAGAGCCCAGGCCGGCAGCGCTGGCCTCCAAGACCCATCCCGGAAACCAAGCTCCAACCTGGAGCTGAGGCTGTCCCAAGCATGGGGACGCATCTCCAGCTCAGGCCTCAAACATGGAGTGTGAGTCTGGCCCTGAGTCCTTGGCCAAAGCTCCAATCTGCGTCAGACCCAGGTTCCGGACCTCATATCATCTACACCACTTATTTCAGGAACTTTCCTGTACTTTTCCTTGGAGTTAAAATACCAGCCTGCCCGAGGCTTGGTGTCATCCAGAGATGGGAGAAAAGTTGTGGTGGGACAGCCAGGGAAGGTTGCTGGGATGTGGTGTGGGTGGCAATGGGATGAGATGCGGATGGAAGTGTTTGTGATGGGGGTGACAGGATGGTGGGTGGAAGGTGAGACGAAAGTATGGATGGACTATGCAGGAGTTAGCAAACTTCTTCTGTAAAGGGCCAGAGAGAAAACATTTTCAGTTTTGAGGGCCATACGGTCTGGTGCAACTCCTCATTTCTCTCCTGTTGTAGTGCAAAGGCAGCTGCAGATTAATATGTAAACAAGTGGGCATAGTTGTGTTCCAATAAAACTTTATTTCTAAAAAGAGGCAGTGGATCAGATTTGGCCCATTGGTAGTCAGTTGCCAATCTCCAGAATTTAGGACAAGCATGAAAGAATGGTTTCTTGGGTTGGGTTTCTTAGAAGCAGAGCCTGAGATGAGGATATTTGTGCAAGCAATTTATTGAGGGATAGCTCTCAAGAGAAACCTATGAGGAAGTGAGGAGAACTGGAGGGGTGGGGAAAGAAGCTAAGCAGAAATGTTGGTTCAGAAGAAGGCTGGCATCTCAGCCTGATCCTATGAGGAGCTCTGGAGCATGAGCAACCCTGCAGAATTGATCCCCCCAACTCTTCCTCCACCCAAGTCAAAGGAGCTGGCTTTTTAATCCCTGTACCAAGCAGCCATTGGCTGTAGGTCTCCGATGGGGCCTTTCTGGGTGAGGAAGCTCCTTTCTGCTGAGAGCAGTTCTCAGCAGAGGTAGGTAGCATGAGCTGTTAGCAGCCAACACACTTAGCAGCTGTAGGATAGGTGTATCATTCTGGTAAAGGGTGTCTGAATAGGGCACCAAAAGTATCTACTACAGAGAGTATGCAGTGAGGTGGGTTGGAGTGAGGTGTGATTTGGGGTGGATAGCGGAATGAAGAGTGGAATTAAATTATGTTGCAAAATGGGGGTAAATGGAGAATGGGATGGGGATTGAAAAGATTGGCTTGAAGTAGAGGGAAGGTTAGTGAAGTAGTGTTTGGGAAAAAAGATGGAGTGGAAAATGTATATGGAAAAGAGAATGGAGCTTGAAGAACGATGACATGGTGACATGGGTGGTGGGTGCGGCATAGGAGGAGGGTGTGCTTAGTGGAATGGTGGTTGAACTGGTGGTGTGGGAGGGTGGAGCAAATGGATGGGAGAGTGGGTGCTCGGGTGTCGATGGGGCTGCTTGGGGCTATACTACCTGTTCTCCAGGTATGGCGTCCCTGGATAACAAGGCGACAGGGCGGATGGGGATGCGGGCAGCTGTATACTACATGGTGACCACGGTCATCGCAGTCTTCATCGGCATCCTCATGGTCACCATCATCCATCCTGGGAAGGGCTCCAAGGAGGGGCTGCACCGCGAGGGTCGGATCGAGACCATCCCTACAGCCGATGCCTTCATGGACCTGGTCAGGTGACGTCCTTTCTAATTTTGATGGGAATTTTGGCCCTCCATGCAACAATTTATGCTCAAGCAGAGACTAAGGGGACAGGCTGACTCAGCCTGGAAATGGCAGCACCCAAGTTGAGCCTGGTTTTATTGGTACCCATTTTATGCCCTGGAGCCTTGCACAAATCCTCTGAGAGCAACGGACTCCTAGGATATGATCTTTTGACCCCTAGGCTGGGGAGGCTGTAGCTTAAGCATCTTGGGATGGGCTCAGACAGCTGGCGTTTGTCTGGTGTCCCTAAATTCCACTGCAGGGTGAATGATTCTCTTAGAGCAGCAAGATTGTGTCAGTTGGAATCAAAGCTGGCTCGAGTGATACTCTAGTCACCAACTTGGGAGGAACCCAGGGTTGGGGGAATTCAGGAGCTGTCGGTGTGATTTTGAGGCATCATTATCATGTGTGATAATGTGTGTGTGAACTGAGGTCCCTGAGGTGGCATAAGGTCCCACTGAGGGCTCAAACAGACCTGGATTTGAGGTACATCTGCAGCCCTTGGCAGCTGTGTGACTTTGGGTAGCTTACATAAATTTTTTGTGCTTTGGTTTCTTTGTGTGTAAAATGTGTGTAAAATCAGTAGCACTCACTTCTAGGGTTATTTTAATGTTTAAATCAGATCATATAGATAAGGCACTTAGCTCAGTGCTTGGCCTAGAGGAAGTGTTCATATGTTGGCTGCCATTATTATTATTGCCGTTGTTATTATTATAGCTATTATCACCCTAGATTCCTTTCCAAGGTCTAACTTCCCTTTATCTGATGCTTTTCTGCAGAAATATGTTTCCGCCCAACCTTGTGGAGGCCTGCTTCAAACAGGTCAGGAGGAAATACACAGTTTCATCAAGGAGGCTTGGAGGGTGGGGGAAGCTTGCTGCTGAGTGAACGGTCCAGGGGTGAAGGGTGTGAAGAAGGGCCTGACAGAGCAATGGCCAGAGGCTTTTGGAAGAGACTGGGACATTGGTGTGATGATTAAGAGAGGGTTAGAGAGGAAGACTTAAGCCCAGGGCTGCCTGGGAATGGTATTGGAGGAGAATCCAAGGCTTCTGACCATAAATGGTTGAGGAGAGAGGCCCCCAAACCTGCCTGAGCAGTGCCTGGGGAGCTTGTGCAAAATGCAGAATCTATACTCATTCCCCCAGGTGGTGGCTGTTCCCTCCCTCAATCATCTCTTCATTCACTTATTCTTCTATGTGTTGGTCAAATCATCCATTCACTGATTCAGATCTACTGAATAAGACTCTCCAGGGTGTGGGAACCAGGAATTGACGTTTGAAGGAAATTTCTCCAGGAGATTCTGATGCATCTGCTGAATCATATTTGGCCCCAATCTCTCCATATTTCAGTTCAAGACGCAGTACAGCACGAGGTTGGTAACCAGGACCATTGTGAGGACAGAGAACGGATCTGAGCTGGGCCCCTCCGTGCCTCCTCTATCCTCAATGGAGAATGGAAGCAGCCTCCTGGAAAATGTCACGCGGGCCTTGGGCACCTTGCAGGAGGTGCTGAGCTTTGAGGAGACTGTGCCTGTGCCTGGCTCGGCCAATGGCATCAATGCCCTGGGCCTTGTGGTCTTCTCTGTGGCCTTCGGGCTGGTCATCGGTGGCATGAAACACAAGGGCCGAGTCCTGCGAGACTTCTTTGACAGCCTCAATGAGGCTATTATGAGGCTGGTGGGCATCATTATCTGGTGAGTGCTGGTCTGTGACAGGGTGGGTGGTGATGGTGCCTGGGAGGATGGAACCAGAGCTGGAAAGTCAGGCTGTGGGGAAGCTGCTGACGGGCTCATTGCAGCCATTTGGCCAAAGTTGTTCATATACGTATTGGTTAATTCACTCACTAACTCTTGCAGTCATTCACTCACTCATTCATACCTTTCTGCAATGATTTCTTCACTCATTCACTCCCTTGTTCATCTATTCATTCACTCATTTATTCATTTATACTCATTTTTCCATGCATTGGTTTACTCATCTTCTCATTCATTTATTCATTCTTCTGTGCATTGGTTCATTCACTCATTCATCCGTTCATTCGCTCATGAATTTGTTCACTAACTCATCCTGCATTAGCTAAACCATTGAACGATGCATTTATTTATTTACTAAGTCACTTATTCATTTGGACTCATTGTTTGACCCACTCATTCATCTCTGCACTTGTTACTTTCTCATTCGCTTGCTCAAATATTTCTTGCATTCATTCATCCATTCACTTAACACACTCATTCATTCATTCACCTACTCCTTCATGTCTCATTTGCTCATTTTCTTACTCATTTATCCACTTGCTAATTGTTCCTTAATTGATGCATGCACTCATTCATTGTTTAAATCTCTTCATTATGTCACTCATTCAACCAACATTTTCCCAGGCTGACTTTCTCTTTAACTCTGGAATACAGAGATACATTGAATTAAGTCCTTGTCCCCAAGGAGCTTGCAAAGTCTTGGAGGAGACAGACACATATTAGATACATAGAATATAAGGTGGAAGGTTCTATAGTAAGGAGACCTTACAAAGTGTTGGGAACATGGAGAAGTGAGCAGCCAGTGGAGGAATTTACAGTGAACTCTGCCTGGGAAGGTGAGGAGGGAGTCATGGAGAAGGTCATCTCTTAGCTGGGTCTTGAAAGGTGAGTAGGAATCTAACAGGACAGGAAGAGGGAAGAGGACTTCAAGCAGAGGGAAGAGAACATGCAAAGCTTGAAAGAACCTGAGTTGTTTGGAGAATGGTGCAGAGTTCAGGAAGGTGGGAACATAGGGTAAGTTGGAAGTGGTTGTGGAAGATGTTAACAAGGCTGTCTGGTCCCAAATTGAGGAAGACTTTGTACATTATCCCAAATAACTTGAAAGTTGTGTCGGGGGCTGGAGGGCCATGTAAGAGCTTGGAAAAGCTCCTGAGGGGGAATGGAAAGGGGTGATTATCAAGGATAAGCAAGATGATTGACAAGGAGTAGGAAGGCTCAACTCAGCTGGGAACCATGAGTGGTGTCATTGGCATGGTTAGGGAAAGTATCCCTATGTGCCAGGTGGCTGAGCGTGGGAGGAAGGAAGTCATGTGCAATTCATTAGGGTTGAGGAATTTTGCAGAGGACAAGGAGAATGGATGAAGATGAGGGAGTTGGAAATAGAGTTCACAAAGTAATCATAGAGGTAGGTCTAGACTTGGGGACAACTTAGCAACCGCTCACCAGGGCTAACCCTTGAGCCCAGCTTGGGGAACACAGATGTGGCTGGAGAAGTCCCCCATATCCTCATTCCCACAGCCTTAGCTTGAGTCTCATCATTTCTGATCCAAGCTGTTGCATCAACTTCCCAAGAGGTCCCCAGTTCCTCCCGTACATCCATGAGAATGACCAAGGGTAGATTTCAGTTTCTAAAGAGACGAATAACAGTTGAAGCCTGGTAATAGGTAAATGATGGCACCACTGGCAGAAACTCACAAGACTAAGCAATGGGCTGTTTTTTGGGGAAAACAGGCGAGCCCCTGATAAACTCACTTCTTCTGTCTTCTTTAGTCTCCTTTTCACTCACTGCTCCAGCCACACTGGTCTTCTCTCTGCTCCTCCGATACTCCTAGCTCATGCTCATCTCAGAGTCTTTGCACTGTGCCTGAAATGCTTCCTTCTCAGATACACATGGTTCCTTCTCATCATTCGGGCCTCAGCTTAAATGTCACCCCTTCAGAGAAGCCCTTCTGACTGCCCACACTTAAGCTGCCCCACTCAGTGACACTCTTTTGCAGTTATCACCACCTGAAGTTTTTAATTACACATTTCTATATGTACCACCTATTTCTGAAAGAATGTGCACCATAAGGGCAGGAATCATGTGACTGGAACATAGTAGGTACTCAATAGATGTTTGTTGAGTGAATTAATAAATAGATAATTTGCTAAGACATGTTGTTTGACATGTCTATGGGAAATCTAGGTGAAATAGCTCAGGGCTGGTGAATGAGTGAGAATATGCACTTACAGGAAAGAGAATAGGCCCATAAAGGTGATAAATGCAGAGCAAAGAGTTGGGGGCAGTGAATAATGGAAGTTAGAAGGCCAGAGATAGGGAACGTCTGGGCAATGCCTACAGAAATAGTCCTGAAGACAGTGATTATTTGAGGGGGACTTGGATGGAGGAGTGGATAAGGAGAGACCTTATCAGATTGTATGCCCTGGAGTTGTAGGAACTTTTCTGCTGTCTGGGGGTGAGCTGTGGATGAGCAGGAAGAGGTGGTGGGGTATGCTTGTGGCGCCCAGCCCTGTTTGTTATTGTGTGGAGAAGGTTGGGTGGAGGAGGGTGCTGTATGACAGGCACTGCCTGGCTCCAGGGTCTCATATGGGCAAAACTTTAGGGATGCCAGTTCTGAGTTTGTAGGGGAGGTCATGAGGGAGCCCTGACAGGTGTCTGGCTTGGCCCAGGTATGCACCTGTGGGCATCCTGTTCCTAATTGCTGGGAAGATCCTAGAGATGGAAGACATGGCCGTCCTAGGGGGTCAGCTGGGCATGTACACCTTGACCGTCATCGTGGGCTTGTTCCTCCATGCTGGCGGCGTCCTGCCTCTCATCTACTTCCTCATCACCCACCGGAACCCTTTCCCCTTCATTGGGGGTGTGCTGCAGGCCCTCATCACCGCCATGGGCACATCTTCCAGGTATGGCCTTGTCTACCCCTGTGGGTACCCTTCCTAGGTTCACCGTTGGTCTTTCATGAACTCTCCTAGGAGTCCCAACCTCCCCCACTACAGAACCTCTTCTGAGTTGTATAATAGTGTCAGATGCTCCTGAAGGCCTCCAGGTGGCTCGCAGGGTGATCTTTGTCCTGGGCTAGCTCTCCTGACCCCTTTTTCTCCTCTCCTGTCTCTATTTTATGTGGAGGAGAACTTGCTGCCAATTTTGAGGTTAGGATGAAGGTTCCAAGATGCCTCATATTCTCATTTTCTAGCTCAGAGGGTCTCATCTCCCCTTAAGATGGTTACTTCCTTCTCCCTTTTTTTGTGGTTTTAGGGGGTTAATAAAAAGCTCCCCTTTCTCCCATCACCCAAATTCAAAATGGTTTGAGGAGTATCAGAAGCACCAATCAGATGGAAGAAAAATACAATTTTTATTGTCCATAACGCTGATTGGAGAATGTGCCTTTTGATCTATGGCCAAGTAGGGTTGGTGCCATTGTACCCCAGGATTAAACTCATCTGGCTTCCACAGGGCTGGACACTCAGAAGCCCTCTCTGTGGGTCCAGGCTTCTCACTGCATGATGTAAAGCTTATCAGACAGAGCACACATCTTTGTGGACAGGCTGACCTCAAATGAGATGCCCACTCCTTTAACTAAACTCACCAATTGATTAAGTCACTCTTCCTTACCTGGGAAGTGGTGGGGAGAGAGGCCACGAGGGTTAGTGTAGCTCAGCTTGCTCCCTGAGCAAATATGGGGAGTGCGGAATAGGAGTCCTCTGTAATGTTCCCCTCTTAGCCCTGAGGGGTGGGAAGTCAGAAGGTTCTTAGTTCTCTCCTTTCTGGGAGTGAATAGAGTGAATTAGTGGTATGAACTAGCCTAGTAGTTAGCTTTAAGCTATTGGCTTTAAGTGGGTCAAGAGACCTTCAGCTTGGAGGAGCCCCATTGCTCTGTGCTCCCTGTCATAAGGAGACCCTCTTCCCCATGCACAGTTATCAGCCTCTGAAATGTTACACACCTGCCATCCTCCCCTTGCTCTGGCTCCCATCTGGCTTCCCAGTGTTCTCAGGGGAAGCTCTCCTTGGGTCTGTTGCTGCTCCAGCTCTGCTCTGCCATCCCCTGTTCTCAGCCCCCAGGGCTCTCTCCCTTAGCTCCGCGACACTGCCTATCACCTTCCGCTGTCTGGAAGAGGGCCTGGGTGTGGACCGCCGCATCACCAGATTCGTGCTACCTGTGGGGGCCACCGTCAACATGGACGGCACTGCCCTCTATGAAGCCCTGGCCGCCATCTTCATCGCCCAAGTCAACAACTATGAGCTCAACCTGGGCCAGATCACAACTATCAGGTGAGATGGTCTTGCGTGGGACCTGCCAGCAGGTGAGACCTAAGAAGTCTTTAGCTTGGCTGGGGGAGGGTGGAGCCACAGCTCGAGGTCAGGGGAGGCCCTTGATGTTGGAGAGGGGGCCTGTGGGAAGAGCCCAGTCACCCATACTAGACGAAGCTAAAGGTGAGACTTTGCAATCTGAGGCTGTCAGAAGCTGGCAAGATGTTCAGGTCAGCCCTCCTCTAACGTGGTATTGTGGAAGATCCCTTTGTGCAGTATTTTCCAAAGTATCGCTGGCACCTCCAAATAGCCTGAGGTTCTTGTTATAAATATGGATTCCTGGGCCTCATCCCAAAGGCCCAGAGGTTCTAACTTAGTCATTATAAAAGCAAAAGCAAACATCATCATCTCCTTCGGGTCTTTGCTCCAATGTCACCTTTTCAGGAAAGCGTTTCCTGAATACCCTATTTAAAATTGCATGTCTGGATTTTCGTAGGCTGAACCATTGTCCCGTAGCACTATCTGCCCTCCTTTAAGTATTTTACTTATTCATCTTGCCGATTGCCTGCCTTCCCCACTAGAATGTAAGCTCTGTTTGGACAGGGATTTTGTTCTATGGGAATTTCTACTAGGTGTCTAGCAATAGCATATGTGCAATAAATGTGAGTTGAAAGAATGAATTTATTAAGGCTGTGTAAACAGTCTTGTGCAGAGTGCCTTTGCACCCATTCATTTGATCCTCATGACACCCCCTGAGGTGGGTAAAATTATATTTACTTTTTTAGAGAGGAGGAAACAGAAATTGAGGCCGGTGAAGTTACTTGCCCAAGGTCACTTAGTGGAGAAGTTGAGCAGGGGGTCTTGATTCCTGAACCAGTGCTGGCAACTGCAGAGCACAGGGTGGGAGGAGCGATGGATGAGGGGTGGGAGGAAGGAGTGTGCATTCAAGGAAGCTGGTCTGGGAAGCAGGGGTACATGTGGGCAGTGGTTTGAGAATCTCTTACCCAGGTGAAGAGTCTGAGTCAGTGGAGCTTAGCTTCTTGTGTGCCACACTCAGCAACCTCATGCTGCCTTCCTGTGAACGTGAAGTACTTGGAGCTCATGGGGCTGTGGTTCTCTATACCTTGTGGCCACTGAAATAGGCCTCATAAGTATTGGATATTGGGGAATAGCCTCTTGTTCAGTCAGTCAGCAAATATTTATTGTAGTAGTACTGACTCGGTCCCAGGAACTGGGAATATGGCTGTGAACAACATACTCATGACTCTGTACTGAATCTCTTTGGAAGTCAGCTGACACAGCAGACTCAGAGTCCTGGGAAGGCACTGCTGGGAATTTTCCTCATGGCTTGGGCTCCTGGCAGTAAGGACTGTGCATGGACTCCCAACAAAGGCTGGCTGGGGTGTGCTGGACACAGCTCTCTGAGGCTCTGCTCTTTTGTATAGGTTCTTTTTGGAGGAAGAAAGACTCACTGTGACTCCTCTGCTGACAAGGGCCTGGGGGCCAGTTTCTTGGCTTATGTCTCCAATTCCTTAGAAAAAGAGAACTTAGAAAGATTTGCAGTAATTTTCTGGGTGTGGGTCTGCCTTTGTTCATTCCTTCCTTGCTCAAACGTTCATTTGGTGTCTACTTACTGAACCCTGTGCTTAGGAAGACCTAAATATGTGAAGGCATGAACCTGGCTCAGAAGGCATCCACAGTCCATTAGAGGAGACCATGAGTGAACTAAACATTTCCACATGGTCTGCCAAGGGCTGCGCTGGGGAAGCCAAGTGCTGTAGGAGTGCAAGGGGGCACCTGGCCCAGCCTTGGAGAAGAGGCAGTGAGTGAAGCCTTCATGGACAGGTGACTCTGGAATTGAATGTGGAAGGAGGACTAGGAGTTGGCCAGGTGGAAAGGAAGGCAGTGGGTAAAGGGGTTTATGGCATCTGAGAGCAGTGGTTCTCAAAGAGGACCAGCAGCAGCAGCATGTGGGAACTCACTAGAAAATGTAAATTCTCAGACCCCAACACAGTCCTACTGAATTAGAATTTCTGGGATAGAGCCTAGCCATCTGTGTTGTAGCCAACCCTCTCATTGACTTTGGTGCACAGTTAAGTTGGAGAACCACTGCCTTAAAAAGACTAGGAGGAGCTCATCAAGGCTGAGGCTCGGAGGACATGAGAATGAGAAGGACATAGGGCTGGAAAGTGGGCAGGGGCAAGTTCAGGAAGGCCCCTGTGCCAAGAACTCTAATTTAAGAGCAAACGTTCAGAAAACATGTGCTGAGTGTTTTCTATCTGGCAGGCTCTGTGTGGAGACTGAGGGATGCAGGGAAAAATAAGACATGGTTCCTGAACTCAGGGAAGATCCAGTCTAATGAAGGGAAAAGACACACAAATGATGATGATGGTGATGGTGGTGATGATGATGGTGATAGTGGTAACAGTGGTGATGATGGTGGTGATAATGGTGGTGGTGCTGGTCATGGTGATGATAATGGTCAATATTTATAAAGCACTTACTATGTGTCAGACACAGCATTAAATATTTTACCAGTGTGAATTCTTTGAATGACATCCCATTATGTCCTATGTATAGCTCCATCATTGTCCTTGCCAAATTAAAAAAAGATTATCTGTTTGTTGTGGGTAGCATAAGAGCTTTGGGAATCCGGGGAATGGGCATCTAACTCAGCTGGTACCATGTAGCTTTCTTTTCCCTTCCATTTTGTTAGTACCCCTCCTCCCCCCAAATAACTTCAACATCCACACAGGTGACCCTTCATCATCTTCCTTTAAAAGTTCCCTGGCCTTTGGAACTCCAGCCACCTACCCTTGGGACCACACCCTGGACTTTGTCACCACTCAGCCTGCTTTGACATCTCTAGTATATGCATCATGGGCACAACCTCCAATGTATCTGCCTTCTTACTTTACTTCCCCTACATTTCTTTAATTTCATGAGAACTTTTGCTTCCTCAATTCCTCTCTTTCCCCCCCATTTTGGTTTCACTTTTCCCCTTATGTGTTTTAGTTCAGTGCTTTTATGTGCATACTAATCACCTGGGGTTCTTGTTCAAAAGAGGTTCTGATCCAGTGGTTCTAGAGTGGGGCTTGAGGTTCTGCCTTTCTAACAAATCCTCGGGTGATGCTGATACTGCTTGTCGGGGGACCACACTTGAAGTCGTGAACTTCCAGACCAGAGAACGTGGCGCTTCCTTCTTTCACTTTCTTGAGACTGTCTTTGACATCCTCACTCCCTAGTCTTTCTGTCCATCACCTCTCCAAATCCTCAACATTGGGGAACTCATCCATCCACTTTATCTGCTCATACGTCAAGGTGTCTGAGCCCAGGTAGGAAAAATCTACCCACCATGGAGATTTTTGCCACTAGAAGAGGATGCATTACATTCTCAGCCAAGCACATTTCCACTCAGAAATCCCTTTATGTCAGGATTCACAGTCCTGGGTACACATTAGCATCACCTGAGACCACCTCCTCCAAGAGGCTCTGACTTAGTTCTGGTGGATGTGGGGTCTGGACATCAGTATGTTTGTGAAAGCCACCAGGTGATTCTACTGTGCAGTCAGGGTTGACCACCCAGTTATATAGTGGTTGTATTAGGCGTTCCTCAGCATTCATACTGAATATTCATCACTCTCTTTACCCACCAAACCTGTTCTCCGGTTTCCTTCCTCATGGAAGACCGTATTGCCTGCTACCTCAGGGAGATCTTGGAGATCATTGAGGTTATTGGGCATGAATAGACCTAACTTTCTGCTCCTGCAGCTCAAATCTGTTGTGTATGCATCCATCCATGCTTCCTTTCCTCTGATCTCAGTTTAAACACAGTTCTGTTGCTCTGTTCAAAACTCGTTCCTCTGCTGTTCCCCAAATCCCATCCCTCCTGTCTTCTCGTTGTCAGCCATTCCATTGCTATTTGCATTTTCAATTCCACTGCCTCTACTTGACCTTTCTCTGTAGCATATGAAGGCATGCTGACATCTATCCCATATTATAAAATTAAAGATCTCACACCTAAAATGCTACTGATCTCAGGGAGGCTTGGCTCCAGTGTCTGAGCATCTCACCCTCTCCAACACCTGCTTGTCCTTCATGGGTACATAGGGATTGTGGCTGAAGGCAGGTACCACAATGTCTCAGCATAGTACAAAGCTGGCTTGATGGAAACACTTATGACTGGGTGTCCGCAGCAGGATGAGGTGCTCTACCTTTTTGAGGGTCCTGATAGATCACCCTGTAAATAAGGAAAACAGTCTGAACTTGGGTCCCCATGACTGAGGGGACTTTCAGGGATACATCCCGACCCCAGGGCTGATAGCACCTGGAGGTTCTGTGGGATGTTGAGCCCATGTGAAGTCCCTTCTGCTACAGGTAGAGGAACCCTGGTCCTAGTTACCTCATTGCCACACAACCCAGAGATTGCCACTGGATCTTTCTTCAAACAGCCTTTCTTGTTACTGGCTGGGATATATGAACCCTTTTCTATGGTAAACCAAGGATATAATGAAGATGACGTAAAGATAATTTCAAAGGAAAACATTTTTTTTGTTTATTTGTCTATGTCAGGGTCCCAAACATTGCTGTGAACACTTCTCATGGGAAACTTTGACATCATTGGGAGTAGGGAAGTCATCAAAAAGGGTAAGGATGAAAGACTTTTGAGGGGTTTCTTAAATGGACCTGGGATCTGAGCATCACTTCCAGCATCTTCCTGGGGAATCTTTGGGGAGAGCTTGGTGGGGATGGCCACCTTGAGAGCCACCAGATAATAGTTCCAAGTTTAGTGGCAGATAGTGATTGGCTAGTTGGAGATTCCTAGTTTGGACCTAATCTAAACTTAACCCAGAGAAGTTTGCGTTGGCTTCTTGGATCTGGGTTGGGATTAGCTCGTCCCGTTGAGAGCAGGCTGCCCGCCTGCCAGGGGCACACGCAGACCACTGTTTATGCCAGGGCCAGCGATCGGAGGAGGTGTTTTCTCTCACTTAGGTTGATGGTAATAATGATCCCCTTGAGGCCCGTCCTTGAAGCACTGTTCTCTTTTACTGCTCACAGTAACCTCACAAGGTGGGTGTATCTTCCCATTCTACAGGTGAGGAAATAGAGACTCTGAGTTTATGTCCAAGGTTGTACATCTAATGAATAGGAGTCTTCTGGATCCCAAAGTCCATTCTCTGTTCACCAACCCAACAGTTTGCCCAATAGATGTTCTGTTAGAGACCTCATCTGGGCTAAGCATCCGAGTGGCTCCATGTTCATGATTATAGAATTTGGGAAAGGGCTTCAGAGGCCACCGGGAAGAGGGGCACCAACCTCAGGGCACTGACACCTTTCCTGGTAAGCTTGGTGGCTTTAGAATACTTGGCACCATGCCAGGCAACCCACGTTGATGTGGGAGCTACAATCTAGCCTACTCTTGATCCAGTCTGACTCTTCTTGATGCTGGACAGCCATCTCCTTCATTTTCCATAGATTTTGCCTTTTAATTTTCCAAAAATGTATATGTGTATTATTTTTCATATATAATTTTTTCCCTTTGCTCAGCATAACAGAAAGTTTTTTCTTTTGGTTCTAAACTTTGTCCATCTTCCACATTTCCATCCCTGAAGCTGGACGTGGCCATACTGACCTACCTGCTTCTAGTGTGTGTGCAGATGGGAACTCAGTCTTCTGGTTTATGGCTGCTGTCTGGTTTGATTCTTCTGCTTTCTTGCAGCCCCTAGTGGCAGCTAGTTAAATACCTCCTTTTACATCTGCAATATGAGGTGTTTAAACATACAAAAGTCTGTCGTTGGGTGAACTTCCAACCACATCCTAGCAGAAGACGAGGAGACCTGTCTGCACTGGGACTCAATGAAAGTCACTTTTGGTTACTTTTTTTTTTCCTGATTTTTCTCCCCAAATCCCCCCAGTACATAGTTGTGTATTTTAGTTGTGGGTCCTTCTAGTTGTAGCATGTGGGATGTGGCCTCAACATGGCCTGATGAGTGGTGCCATGTCCGTGCCCAGGATCCGAACCAGCGAAACCCTGGGCTGCTGAAGCAGAGTGTGCGAACTTAACCATTCGGGACCGGCCCCTGGGTTACTTTTTATTTTTGGGAATTTGATTTAGGATGCCCTGGGAATGGACCCCTTCCCTTCTCTCATGTCCTTTCTCACTCTCTTCCTCGTCTCTCCCCTCCCTCCTCCTGCCTCCTTGTGTCCTCTCTCCACTTGCAGTATCACAGCTACAGCAGCCAGTGTGGGGGCTGCTGGCATCCCCCAGGCGGGTCTGGTCACCATGGTCATTGTGCTCACGTCGGTCGGCCTGCCCACTGAAGACATCACGCTGATCATAGCTGTGGACTGGTTTCTGTGAGTGTTCTTCAGACCCTTGTGCTGTCTCTCCTTGACCCCCTTCCTTTCCCTGTAGGACTCCAACCCATGGGCCCTCATTCCAGCAAGGACGCTGAGTTCTAGAATTTTATATTGAAAGGGGGTGCTTGGGGAATACTCAAAGCCATGGCCTGTGGATCCCAAATTCCATAGAGTCAACCTTGGGAAGTAGGGCAGGGAGGAGACAAGCAGTGGGGGCTTTACCTCTCAGCTGGAAAAGCTCCCCTTGTACCTGTTCTATGTAGAAGTCACACAAAGGTGAACCGTGGGACAGAACTGCCTTGAAAATATTTTTAAAAAATTCTCAACTTTAAAAATAGGAGGTTTCCATTAAAAAATCTGGACTTTCATCCCCACCTGGGAGCTGTCAGCTGGACCTGAGTCCCATTTGGATGGTCTCCAGCCTGGCCTGATTTACTCGTGGTGGTTACCTTCCTCATCTCATATGCTGTTCAGATCATGACTCCTAATTTTTTATCAGATGTTTACGTCCTTTAAAAAAAGAATTGTATTGCTAAGATCAAGTGTGAGCATCAGAGCTTGTCCGACCTGTGCTCGTTAGAAGGGGAAACTGAGGACAAGGGGGGTACCTGCAAGTGTTATATGGTCGTGGATTGGACTGGAATGTGAACCCCAGCTCTCAGGCACAGGAGCCCCCCTACTGCACCCTGCCCCCTGGGGAGCTCTTCAAGCCTCTGTTAATGAAGTTTCTCTCTCCCCTCTCCTCCCTAGTGACCGACTTCGCACCATGACTAATGTGCTGGGGGACTCGATCGGAGCAGCTGTCATTGAGCATTTGTCTCAGCGGGAGCTGGAGCTGCAGGAAGCTGAGCTCACCCTCCCCAGCCTGGGGAAGCCATACAAGTCACTCATGGCACAAGAGAAGGGGGCATCCAGGGGGCGGGGAGGCAACGAGAGTGCCATGTGAGGGGTCCCCAGCTCTGCTGCCCAGAGGTGGGGGGAGGGGCTGGGGAGGGAGGTCCTGGGGAAGATCCACTGCCTGGATGGCCATGCACTGAACACCTGTGTTCTGTCTGGATGGCCATGCACTGAACACCTGTGTTCTGTCTGGATGGCCATGCACTGAACACCTGTGTTCTGTCTGGATGGCCATGCACTGAACACCTGTGTTCTGTCTGGATGGCCATGCACTGAACACCTGTGTTCTGTCTGGATGGCCATGCACTGAACACCTGTGTTCTGTCTGGATGGCCATGCACTGAACACCTGTGTTCTGTCTGGATGGCCATGCACTGAACACCTGTGTTCTGTCTGGATGGCCATGCACTGAACACCTGTGTTCTGTCTGGATGGCCATGCACTGAACACCTGTGTTCTGTCTGGATGGCCATGCACTGAACACCTGTGTTCTGTCTGGATGGCCATGCACTGAACACCTGTGTTCTGTCTGGATGGCCATGCACTGAACACCTGTGTTCTGTCTGGATGGCCATGCACTGAACACCTGTGTTCTGTCTGGATGGCCATGCACTGAACACCTGTGTTCTGTCTGGCATGTTTGGGGGAGACTGGGATAAAAGAGCAGGAATGAGAGGGGTGTGAGGTCTCCATTTCTCTCTGAGTGTATGCTGAGAGCTTGAGGGCGGGTCATGAGCGAGGCAGGGAGGAACTATTTCTCCTGGGATTGGGGATACAGGAAGCTTCAGGCTCAACCAAGAGAAGGATCAGCTCATGTGCCTCATTTTCTCGAGGAGTGGTGGAACTGAAGAAGGAAAAGGAAAACCTCTGTTTCTCATAATAAAGCAATATCCATGGCCTCTGTGGAGGGGTCCCCAAGACCACCTTTGGGTTCAGTCATTTGCGAGAAGGACTCATGGAACTCAGAAAAGCTGTGATGCTCATGTTTATGGTTTATTGCAGGGAAAGGACACAGATTGAAATCAGCAAAGGCGAAACGTGCTTGGGGCAGCGTCCAGGAGACACAGACATGAGCTTCTAGTTGTCCCATTTTAGTGGAATCACATAGACAGCACTTAATTTTCCCAACAATGACCTGTGACAACACATATGAAGTCTGCCAGCTGGGGTGCTCACTTGAGCTTTGATGTCCACGATTTTTATTGGAGGTCCAGTCACATAGGGATGGAGCACTTGCTCCATCATTCTTTACTCCCCCTGGAGGTCAAACTAATACAGCATTGCCCAGGGCCCCAGGTGAACGAAAACAGGCATTCACCATAAATTACAACTGTCAGCATAGACTGTTTGGCATGGCTCAAAGCCCCAGGTATACAAAGACAGTTTTATCAAGCAGTATATTCCAAGGGCTCAGAGGTCATCTTCGAGGAGCCAGTCAAGGGCCAGTCCTTTTGTCGGCAGGTGCAGGCTTTCAGCATCCCTAACCTTCTGAGTCAACCCTTTACTGCATACAACCTGCGGAGGGGAACAGAGGAAGCAGCTTCTCCTGGGGATGAGTAGCTGGTTCTTGTAGCCTCAGCTCTTAACTCTCGAGAATGAATGGCCCAGACAGCCCCATACCAGTCTTGGGGTTCTGTATCTCCTAACTACACAAGAGTGGATGTTGGCCTCTTAGTATCATTTTCTTGTAACCTAGTGAACCAGATGTGACACTGAATGAGACCTTGCTAAAGACTTGGGGAAAACACAAGTAGACAGAGGAACATGATTCTGTCTGTCATGGATGTAACTCAACTCCACGACCCTATTTGTCCAGGAGACATGACAGTAATTTTTTCTAAATCAAATTAAGCTCTGCTTGAGCATTTACCTCTCCCAAATTGGGGAGGGAAATTCAAGCACAGGTGTGTTTTGAGATGGCCCTTCCCCCATTCTTTAGGATCCTAAGAGAACCTTTGGATATAGGCAGTTGAGAGAACGTGGGAGAAGGGCTCCATGGAGACATATGTGGTCAGGGAGTGGAAACAGTCTACACAAAGGCAAGAGGCTCCTCCGTGTGTAAAACATCCTGCTCTGCATTTGCCCAGGGGGGACTTGGCCTGGGACCCGAGTGTCAAACCGGAATTCCAGCCTCCAGCCCAACACCACCCCATGGCTGTGTCTCCAGAGGGCTCCTTGTGGGAGCGAGGTGTATTAGTTTTCCAGGGCTGCCGTGACAAAGTACCACAGATTGGATGGCTTGAACAGCAGAAATTTATTTTCTCAGAGTCCTGGAGGCTGGAAGTCTGAGATGGAAGTGTCATCAGGGGTGGTTTCTTCCGAGGCCTCTCTCCTTGCCAGGGGCTGGCTGTCTTCTCCCTGTGTCTTCATATTGTCTTCCCTCTGTGTGTGTGTATCCTAATCTTCTCTTTTCATAAAGATACCAGTCAGACTGGAGTAGGAATGAACTCATTTTAATTAAACAATTAAATCTGCAAAGACACTTTTTAAATGAAGTCTCATTCACAGGTTCTGGGTGGGCAAATCTTTTGTGGGGCCACCAGTGAAGCCACTACATGGCCAGGAAATGTAGTCAGCCTACCTAAGACCAAGATCTTCGTAGTCTGGGGAGGTGGAGTTGTGAGTCAGGTAAAGGAAGGCACCCGTAAAGGAAGCATCTGTCAAACCAGTTATCAACGTGGTTGCCCAGGGCTTCTGCTGAGGAGCGCTGGGAGCCAATGTCATGTGTATGCCTCAGGGCCATCTCACCCAAGGGAGTTATACACCAACTCTGTCAGTCTTTGGTGAAGGAGTGAGTCCTGAGGCATTAATTCTCTATGCACATAGGCAGAGCAGAATGCTGCCACCAGAGTGATCCCTCCTTAGGCAAACGATGCAGATAGAAAAGTTTGAAGCCAGACAGGATTGCCTTAAAATGGTAAATGGTGATGGGAGATCTTCTATATTACGCCTCTTCATTCTACCTTCCTGGGATGCAGTTGCAGAGGCTGGAAAGGCAGAAGTTTTTGTGACCATGATGATGAGAATCCAATGCTAAGGTTGGTAGAGCGGAAAAGTGGCATGATCCTGAGTACTTGAGGACTGGCCTTGAAATGCTTAGCTCCAGAATTCATGTTTCAAGAGGAAAGAAAAAACCTTTTTGGTTAAGCCATTACAGAGTGGTTCCTGCTATATGCAGCCAATTGCAATTTTTAATTGGTATGAAAGAAGTTTATTAGCAACGTACCTGATGACCTTGACAGGACGTCCCTGAAGAGAGTTATATAGAAAAGACAGCTTCCTTCTAAGGCCATGCTCTCTGACAGAGCTTTCTGCAGTGATGGAAATGTTCTCTATCTGCTCTGTCCAGTACAGTAGCCACTAAGCACACATGGCTTCTTGATCACTTAATATGTATAGTGTGACTGAGGGACTGATTTTTTATAAATTTTGTTCATTTTAAATTATTTTAAACTGCCACGTGTGGCCAGTGGCTGCTATGTTATATCAGACAGCACAGTTCTAAGGGACATGCTCTTGGGGGCCATGGTGCTGTTTTGGTAGAGTTAGCAGAGGTAAGGACGTAGCTCTGATCCCTACGAAGGACCAACGTGGTCAGCACCCCACCCCGGAGCATCGGGCTCAAGTTTCTTCATTTGACCTCGTGTCTATGATGGAAGTGAAACCGCCGTTTTCCGCTAAGGCATAGGCATTTCTGGCTGAGACCCCAAAGCTTCCGTCGCTGTACGACCCTTCGGGACTTGCATTCAGCTTGGAGCAGCTGAGGTCATAATGTGACAGAGCTCGAGCCCAGATTTCTCGGTAGCTTGGGAAAGTGGCTTCTTGTCTTGGAGACAGTGGACAAAGTCAAAATTTCTGGCTGTCTAGGTCCTTGGGTCCATAAGGGGCCGGCTGCCTCTGCATCTGCTGAGATTTTGGGAGATCAAATTCATGAACACGCAAAGATGATAAAAGTTAGTTCTTTTTTTCTCCCCTTTTCAGTTCCCTTAGGGAGACTGAAGGGAAGTTTTCCTGCCACATGCACAGGCAAATAAATATTCTTTCAAACGAAGACATTATTGCTTAACTAGTGGGTAAATTTAGCATTAAACTACACCCCAAGGCAAAAAAAGTTATCTAACTTTTTCAGCGACTTTTGACTTATGCTTTTAAAACTTCTGTGTTTTTGTCTTACTCTCTATCTTGCCTCCATTCTTGGGCTTGTCAATGAAACATTAAAAATATTAATGTATGCTACCACTGTCCTTTGTGCTCTACATGCATCTGCTCTTAATACTTACAGTGGCCCTGTGAAGACTTGCTATTACTATTAACCTTATTTTACAGATCAGGGAGCAGGCCCAGAGAACTTAAGAAATACTGCATGGTCAGCCCCAGTGGCCTAGTGGTCAAGTTCAGCATGTTCCACTTCAGCGACCCGGGTTCAGTTCCTGGGAATGGACCTACACCACTCGTCCGTCAGTGGCCATGCTGTGGTGGTGGCTCACATACAAAAAGAGGAAGATTGGTAGGGGATGTTAGCTCAGGGCGAATCTCCCTCAGCAAAATAAAACAAAAAACAAACAAAAAAGAAATTCTGCAAAGTCACACAGCTGGGAGGGGCAAAGTTGGTCTTTGAACCTGCACGTTTTGACCACTGAGCCTGTGCTCCTATCCTCCACTGCCTCTGAGTAATCCTGGCCTTATTTATTCTTTGGTAGGTTGTACCAGCGGTCCCCAGACTTTACTATGAAAATGGATCACCACCTCTTTTATGGTGGGACACATTACATACATTTTAAAATGTGTCCTGGACAGTGTTTCTTGTTAGAGATGGCATTCAGCTGCAAGTAACAAAAAGATGGACAAAAACAGTAGCTTAGATAAATTAAGGCTTTATTTACCCCCACATCACAGGTCTAGGATTAGGAAGTATGGCAGCTCAATGATGCATTATGGACTCAGTCTTCTTTTGCTTCCCTGCCATTCTCAATCTGTGTTCATCATCCTCATGGCCACAGAATAGCTGCTGAACCTTCAGACATTGAATGCATATCCCAGGCGGGAAGATTGAGCGAAGAGTCAAGGGGGCTTTCTAAAAAAAAAGAACAAACATCTTTTTAATGAAATATAACCTATAGATAGAAAAGGGCCATATCCAAAGCTGAAGGAATTGTCTCACACTGAATATTCTCCAAATAACCAGAAACCAGCCTGAGAAAAAAACATGTCCAGCCAGAAGAAGCTTCCTTTGTGCTCAGTTCCAGTCACCACTTCCACCCCCAGCATAACAGCTATCTAGAATTCTGGCAGTATAGATTACTTTTTCCCCAGTTTTGAATTTTATATAAACAGAATTATTTAACATTTATTTTTCATGTGCGTATCTGACTTCTTTTTTTCAACATTATGTTTGTGAGTCTATTTTTTAATTTTTTAATTAGGAAAATACGTATTTTTTTGGAAGCTCCACCTAACAATTCCAGCTTATATCTCTTTGGGCAAAACTGTGTCACATGATATGTTAGGCAGAATGATGGTCTTTCCAAAGGTGTCCATGCCCTAACCCTTGGAGCCTGTGAATATATTAAGCTATATGAAAAAGAAATTAAAGTTATAGATGAAATAAAGGTTGCTAATCATCTGACCTTAAAACAGATTATTCTGAATTGTCTGGGTGAGCCCAGTGTAAACATGAGCATCCTTAAATGTGGAAAAGGGAGGCAGAAATAGGGGTAAGAGTGAGACAATATGGGAAAGACTCGACTAGCCATTACTGGCACTGAAGATGGAGAAAGGGGCCATGTGGGATGTTCTCTAGAATGTGGGCATTCTCTAGAAGCTGGAGAAGGCAAGAAAGTGTATTCCTCCTTAGAGTCTCTAGAAAGGAAACCAGCCCTGCAAACATCCTCATTTTATCCCCTTGAAGCCCATTTTGGACCTTTGACCTACAGAACCGTAAGCAAATACATCTGTGTTCTTTTAAGCCACTAAGGGTGTGGTAATTGGTTACAGCAGCAATAGTGAACCAAGACACATGGTTATCCCTATAACGATGTTTTAAGCTGGGTGTATTGCCATCGCAAGCAAATCAGTGTTCTGCTATTAGGAAAAGGTTGAGAATCAATAGTGGAAAAGCAGCTTAGCCATGTCTTCCACAAAGAGTAATTGGGAAGATAATTTTTAAAAAGAAGAATAAAGAGGGAAGATTTGGCTTCCTCTTTATGGAAATGTGTAATAAAGCTGTGTTTGTCAAACATAGTGAAATTGGCTTGAATCTAAACAGATACATCAATGTAGCAACAGAATAATAATAAACAAATTCAGTGAAATGAGACACTATTATAAAAGGGGCAAAAACATCAATGAGGAAAGAAATTATTTTGGAATAAATGGTGCTTGGGCAATTACTTACTGGTTGGAAGCAAAATAAAGTTAAATTTGTATCTTAATACCAATCACCATAATAAAATAAACTCGGAGGAAAAATATAACATAGCAGTAAATGTACACTTCTAGAAGAACTTACAGACTAACCCTCTGAGCATAAACCCAGGTGGATGAAAAAGAAAGGAATAGAACTGAGAACATAATTGATGGATTCAAGCATGTTAAATGCCTGTGGGTCAGCCAGCAGAGAAGATAAAAGACAAATGAAAGACTAGGAAAAATATTTAGAATGTGTTGGGTATCACAAAGCATAACAATGTAGACACATGAAAAATTTCTTTTAAACCAGTTAGAATAAAAAATACTGAAGATGATAGATGATCAAAAGATATAAGCCAAAAACTTAGAAAGAATAAACACAAGTAAATACATAAACATGAAAAGGTGTTCAACCTCATCAACAATCAAAGGAAGTCAAAATATTAAGGAAACCTTAATAAATTTTATCCCAGGGTTTGATTTATTTCTAAGGTTGCAGCCCCCAGAGACAGAACAGTTCTTGGTTGGGGAGCTGACTTCCAGAAATGAGAGTTTTTATATTTGAGGACTCCTTTTTCTTATAATAAGTTTTGACTAGAGGGAACATAACATGATGCCTTAAAGAGTGGTCTGATTTAGAAGCTCTGGGTTTCAGCCTCTTCACCCCATCTGTGACCTTGAGCTGGCTATCAAGTTATCTTAAGCTCTTAGTTCCTTGTCTGTGACTATCTGGAAATGATACTAATCAAATGTTACTCAAAAATTTAAATGAGACAATGTGTGTAAAACGCTTAAATAGTGCCAGCATATACTGATTGTTGTTGCTATTCTTATTATAAACTTCAATAACAGAATCTCTTTTCTAGCTCAAAAGCCTTTATTAAATCAGTACATTTGTGTTTTTACGGTCCAGTCTCTATATTTAACCATCCACCCATCTATTTTTTACTCCATTCAAGAAATGTTCACTGAGCATAAACCCCTTTCTAAGAAATGTACCAAGCACTGCCGTTTCAAAGATGGATAGGATATAGTTCAGAAATTTAAGGAATCCACATTGTGGATAAGTAGAGAAATTCAGTAAAATTGATGTGACTGAAGGAAAAGTGAACCAGAAAAAAGGGGGGAATCTTTCAGTTTATTTCATTCTCATACCCTCAGAAATCATCTCCGTGAATGAGTTTCCAGGGCAACATTTCCAAATAGGTACACACCCCATCACTTAGAGGATGGATATTAAATGTGTGAGATTTGATTTGTTTTGTAGGAAATCCAAATCATTACTGAAGAAACAGAAAATATCATATGAGGTTAAAATGTCTGGTTACAGAGTGAAAAAGAGAACCCAACATATGATCTGAAAAAAAATAGAGCAAGGAAGACCCAAGGGAAGTTTTGCCTTAAAACATGTAAAAGTAGGAAAAATAAAAACATTCGACAAGGAAGCCAGGATTTCTGGTCCTCAGTATTGTGCACCTAGCTACTCATGGGATAGTCCCAACAGAGAGAGGCACCACCCTGCTGAGGAGTCTCCCGAGGGCCCCCTTCATGTCCTGGTTCCTCAGACTGTAGATGAAGGGGTTCAGCATGGGGGTGACCATAGTGTACATCACTGAGGCCACCAGACTTGTCCTAGAGGATGAAGTGGCTGCAGAACTTAGGTAGACCCCAAGGCCTGTGCCATAGAACAAGGAGACCACCGAGAGGTGAGACCCACAGGTGGAAAAGACTTTGTACCTGCCCTTGGCTGATGAAATTCTCAGGATGGAGGAGAAAATCTGAGAATAAGAAAAGAGGATTCCAGAGAGAGGAAAAACACCTAGGATAATGGTCACAAAATACACCACAATATTATTGATGAAGGTGTCTGAACAGGAGAGCTTCAGGACTTCAGGAAGATCACAATAAACATGGGGGATTTCCATGTTTGTGCAGAAGGACAACCTCAAAACAGTCAAGGTCTCGAGGAGGGAACCTATGACACTGATGCACCAGGACCCCAGAACCATCAATGCACACAGCCGGGGGTTCATGATGATTGTGTAGTACAGGGGGTGACAGATGGCCATGAAACGGTCATAGGACATCACAGTCAAGAGTAAATTGTCCAGGCACCCAAACGCAATGAAAAAAAATATCTGGCTGAGGCAGGCTTCATAGGTAATAACTTTTCTCTGCATCTGCAGATTCAGTAGCATCTTTGGGACGGTTGTGGAGGTGAAACAGATGTCAGCAAAGGAAAGGTTGGAGAGGAAGAAATACATGGGCATGTGGAGGTGGGAATCTGAAATGATGGCCAGAATGACAAGCAGGTTCCCAATGCCCGTGACCAGGTACGCGGACAGGCACAGCCCGAAGAGGAGAGGCTGCAGGTCTGGCTCCTCTGTGAATCCAAGGAGGAGAAAGTTTCCAAGTCCTGTTTGGTTTTTTCTTTCCATGGAGCTGCTGGGTTTGCCTAGAAGGAGGGAAAAAGCAAGACAAAATTCACTTCAAATAAGCATTCCCTGGAATAACATAAAATATCCTTAATCCAAAGCCAGGCAAATTATGAAGTCATTCATTTTGGTTAATGATTGGATCTCTTTGCTGGCAAACTGTAGTTACCACTGTGACCTGGAAAAATTGTCTCTAAGTTCAGTGGTCCCCAAATTGTGGTCCCTGATCAGTACCATCAGCATCACCTGGGAACCTGTTAGAAATGCACATTTTCAGGCCCACCTGACCTACTGAATCAGATGCTCCGGCATGAGGCCCGAACTCTGCACTTTAACAAGCCCTCCAGGGAATTCTGAGGCACACACAAGTTTGAGGAGCACTGCTCTAGTGCTTGCCTGCATCCCTAAGCAACATCCCTTTGTCAGCATCCCTGATGGCCTCTCTTGCACTTTCTGCTCAGTGCTTGTGGGAACAGGGAATTGCCTAACTCTAGGCAGATCTTCTAATCATTGAGAGATTCTTTCATGGTGCTGCTTTTCTGTAATTTCTATATCTTAGATCCTCTGGACCTTGGGTGCTCCTTCTGTTAAAAAAAATAACTAATCTTATTATTAATCATTTACATTTCATTTATATTATCCATGTCCCCATATATAAATTCAACCAAAATTGAATTTCTAAACACAGTATCCTAGAGTTCCAGAATATCAAGTTTGTCTTAACATAAGTCCCTATTTTATTTTTAGTTTTATTGAAGTATAATTGATTTACAAAAAATTGCACATATTTGATATATATATCTTGATAAGTTTGGACATATGCATTCACCCCTGATACCATCAGCATAATCTAGGTAATAAATTTTTATCTCCTTGTACTCTTTTGTGTGTTTTTGTGTGTGGTGGGAATACTTACAATCTATTCTCCTAACATATTTTAAAGAGTACAATACCGTATCATTAACTATACATGCTAAGTTGTACACTAGACCTCTGGAACTTATTCATCTTGCATAACAGAAACTTTATACCCATTGGGCAACAGCTCCTCGTTTCCTTCCCCCCAGCCACTGGCAACCAACATTCCATTCTCTGCTTCTATGAGTTTGACGATTTTAGATACCTCAGGCAAATGTTGTCATACAGTATTTGTCCTTCTGTGTCTGGCTTATTTCACCTTGTATAATGTTCTCCAGGTTCATCCATGGTGTTGAAAATGTCAAGATTTCTACACAGCATTTTAATGTATGTTAGGTTTAATATCATTAATAATGAAATTCCCTCACATTATCTCTCTGATAGTGTTATTAGTAAAGATTTTGATTTTTTGCATTTATTAGGTATAGTGTGCATTTCCTTAATGTTCTTATTAATTTTAAGATTTTCTCTAATATTCATATACTTTATCCAAATAATATTAATTTAAAACATCTATTTATCTTTAGGTCTTATTGCATTGATATGAAATTCCACCACACTATTCAACTGTATGGCAAGAGTTGGAATTTTTATTAGTTTTCCTTTCTTTCGAGGGAATAATTCTAGCACTTTGTAAGTTAATATGATGTTCACCATAAATTAGGATATATATACTTTTCTCAACTTAACCTGCATTTTTTTATTCCTAGATAGCTTAGAGGGTCTTTTAAAGGTACAAATAAGTGTTTTGTGATTGATTAACAATTTAGAAAAAATAACATTAAAAAATAAAATTAAATCCATATTCCCTAATAAATTTCAAATGTTAAGTGTGGAGCAAGAGACCATACAAGCTATCAGAAGAAAATAAATAGACTACATAGATAATATAAATTTATACATGAATATATATATAATCTTTGAAAGTAGAAGTTCTGTCTGAATAAAAAGTCTAGTAGATACAAGAGAAGAAAAGATCCATAATTGGACCATAAATCGAAAAATTCTTAATGAGAAAATGTGCCATGCAGAAAATTAGAATGTAAAAAATAATCTATCTGACTGATAAAAGTTAATATCTTTAGGCTATAAAATCTTAATTATAAATCATAGAAACATTAATGAATTAACTTGGAAAAAGGCATTGGATATTAAAGATTTACAAAAGAGAATATAAAAGGGTAATAAATGTTTGAGAATATTTTCTTTCTAGTATTATTCTATGAGAGTGAAATTAAAATAAGATATCGTTTCACTGAGAGAATTAAAAAGTACTTTTTAAAACAAGATTAAGAATGCAAAATTCCCTTATGTGGAAAGAGAAATAACACTTCAGATACTGCTATGAGAGCATAACTGATCCGTTTCTCTGGACTGGAGAAATTAAATGAGCATACAGATCTTTTATAATTAGACACATATTTGCACAAACCCAGGGAAAAATGATCTACAGCAAGATACACGAAAATGTGGACAGAGATCATCTTTGAGTGGTAATGTGAACCCTGATTTTTAGATTTATTTTCTTCTGTCTTTCAAAAACTGCAAATGAACACACATGTAGTCTATACTCAAGAAATAAACACTTTAAGATTTGAAGATGTGGTTAATAAAAGTTCCTCAAAACAAAGGTAAAGCAGAAAATTAAGATAAAAGCAGAATTAATGAATTAAAAAGAAGAAAACTTATAGAACTGAGAAATAAATTCTAGAGCTAATTATTTGACAAAATCAAACAAATAGATGAAATTAGAGAGAAGTCTAATGAAAATGATAAAAAGAAAGAAAAAGAACAAAAATGCCTAAAATTAGGAATGAGAAAAATGAACACAGAGGTAAGGAAGTGCTCAACTTTGCAAGATAACATTAATTATAACTCTATATTAAAAATTGGAAAATCTCTGAGAAATAAATTTATTTCTGGGAAAATATGTGTCAAAAGTTGGTTCAGGATGAAGGATAACAGATCAATAATTAAGGAAGGAATTAAAGAACCAAACTGACCTCCAGAAATGCCCTGGTGGGACCTGTGGCAGGAACAATAGAAGAATCCCCTTTAAATATTAAGAAGAAAGGAAAGCCTGCTATCACTAACGTTATTTATCAACACCCTGGAAGTTCCAACCAATGCAACAGAATGAGAAAAAATGTAAAATGTAAGTATTGAAAAGGCAATTCTTCATTGTTTGAAGATGATGGGTTGGTTGCAGATAGTGAACTGGCAGCTGAAAACCTCTTTTAACTGAGTATGGTTTTAGTAAGACAGTCGATACAAAACAAGCATGGAAAAATTAGGAGCCATTTTAAAATGACATTTAGTGGCATATAGTACATTCAGAATGTTGTGCAACCATCACTTCTATCTAGTTGTAAAACATTTTCATCACTATGGGAACTCTCTGTCCTATCTTTGTAACTTTTCTGTAAATCTAAAATTATTCAAAAATAAAAACTAATGACAAAAGTGGGTGCAAGAGAAAAAAACCCAGTAGTGTTCATACGTATGGTTAAATCTCTCAGGAAACAGATCACAATGATTTCATATGTTAATAAAAATATAAATCGCCTGGAACAGGGACTGGAAACTTGGAAATATACAATAAATGAGAGTGATAAATTTACTAAATAAGCTAAAATTTCTTGAAGACCTTCATGTGTCAATGCTTTTTATGTGCTATGTTTTATATGCCTTAGCTCATTTTGTCATCATAACTATTCTTTTTACTTAACAATGAATATGTGTTTCCAGTAATGCAGTGATAATAATCAATATGTATAGATTCTCACTAAGTGTTAGAGCCAATTTGGAAACTTCCCATTCATGATCTCCTTTAATTTAACCTTCACATTAACCTTGTGAATTGGGTACTACTATTATCCTCATTTTACAAATGGGGAAACTGAGACACAGAAACACTAAATAGCTTAACATCAAAAGCTATATGAATGGACTTGTAAGTGATAACTATGCAGAATCCCAGGGAATGTTTCTTGCTTGAATGAATAAATGAACGAATAAGATTTTACAGATAAAAGGACACAGGAGCATCTTTGATAGAGGAGAATAGAGGCACTTGTAATGGCTCCTGGAAAATTGCTAAGATGGCTGGGTAAGAAACTCTGGAGAGATGTTGAGGGCTGAGAGAAGGTCAGTTTCATCAGGAATGTGAGAGGTCCTCAGAACTGGGTTCCAGAAGAGACAGGAAGGAAGCTGAGAGGAAGAGAAATTGAGAGAGACTCAGGAATTGAATTTTGTAGAATGTTTTAAGTGAATGGACTCTCACCATCACATTATCTCATTTTTGCCACCAAAGTTTGTCCTCTGAGAGCTCTGCCTGCCTCCATCCCTGTTTCCCACAGCAAGTGCTCTGATGGCGTTGCTGAGCCTCTAGTTCCCCAGGTCCTTTCTTCTCTGGGTGATGGATATTCAACTCAGTTCCCAGGAAAGGCAGAGAGGGGGCGTCAGGCAACCATTCTCTGAAAGGGCACAGTTGAACTCCCTCCTCCCTGGGACAAGTGAGTTGCAAGTGAGAGGAGTAAGGAGCATATTTACCGTTTCTGTGGCCTCAGAGGTTGAATTCTCACAAAAGCTCATTAAAGCAATTGTTCCATTCTTAGTCTACTCTCTGAGAAATTTTGTTCCCATGAGTTAGGGAGCCAAAATAGGTAGGAACTTCTTTATGCTAGTTTTGTGCCCCTGGGAACATCTTGGATGCCAGCTATGTGTATTCCCTGCCCTACGCCCCTTAGTCATGGTGTTCTTTTCTCCATGGGTGTGGTCTCCATTGTCCTCTCCCATGAGCATTTCTTCAAGATTTGAGATGGAATTTCTTTGTCTACCAAAGGCATGAGCAGGCACATTTTTCAAGACTATGTGAGTCCCAAGAACCTTGACTTGGAGTTGTGAAAAAGGCTCTAAACCACACTCAACTCCCAACAAAACCATTCTGATGACATTGGCACAACTCCTCTTCTTACCATTGAAGGTGCAATCAAGAGATAGTTGTAGACATGCAACGAGAGAAGTGCATGGAGAGGTGGCTGGCTCTACAGGCAGGACTCTGTGGGTATTTATAGCTTTACAGG